ACATATTTTAGTGTTTCGAAAAAAAATTGAAATTTATGTGATCATATAGAATTACATGTGAATCGGATACAATCTTGTATGATCATGTGAAGTTTTATATAAGTCAAATATGATTTTCCATAAGTTGGATGCGATTTTATGTAATCGTGTAAAATGAAATCCGAAGTTTGGCGCGATCTGATTTTATATGATCATATATAAATANAAGCAATCATATACTATCGTACATAATGTAAGTATTTATATATGATCATATAAATTCAGATCGCGCCAAATTTTGGATCTGATATTACGCGATCGCATAAAATCATATTTGACTTAGATAAAAGATTATACAATCATACGAAAGTACATCCAATTTACATATAATCCTACATGATAACATGATTTTTTCATTTTTTCTCGGTGTGTAAAAGTTACAGACTTGAAAATGCAAGTATTACCTGATCGACTAGATAAACTCCGTAAAATGTCAAAAATCCTTCGATAAACCAAGAATCAGACTGTTTAGGTGTAATTAACCAATTACTGAACGCTTCTTGTATCACACTGCGTGCAACCAAACATGTTACTTCTAGTTTTCTTCTAAACGAATCAATTTCTTTATTGTATGCAATATCAGCCTCTCTAAAAATAGTAGTGTCGTTAATGCACTTCTGTCGTTTACATCATGTGGATATATTTGTTGTAAGCTAATTGTTTGAATAATATATTTTACCTGAAAAGGACAAGTCCAGTAGTTATTATAGTTTCGTAGCTGTAGTATGTTGAAAGTGCTATATACTGCACGTGTGAGATTGGTGTAACATCCCTTCTCTTGAGTCTAATAAAAAACGTAATATGACGTATAAGAAGTTGTGCGTATGAAATGTCGTTTTCCACTTGTACTCTGCTGTGTATGCTAAGTGTATCTGACATGAAGGGAAAGTTGGTATATTCAGAAGGTACGACTACTGTTGCTACGGCACGAGTGGATATTAAAGGTGTACGGAATAAAGTATATGTATAAACTTGAGATGTTTCCACTTGTTTATCACGTATATTTGAAAGAGCTGTTTCACTACTGGTATGCTTGATGCGAATAGTAAATGTGGCTTTAGTTGCGAGATTTTCCCAACATGGAAATATCCAGTCAGCGGAAATACGCGGTAATATCAAATATCTATAAAATGTAAAACGGTGTTGTTCTTAGTAATTTGTTCCTTAAAAACTTTATAACTTCTATTGCAACAGTACAAAAGAAGAAATAATTTCTGTATTAGTATTTAATGCACTTACTTTTCTATTTTAGTTTCATCAATAAATGGATAAATTTTCATAACTTTATCTAAACTGCAATTATATTTTGCTGATATCCACAGTCCATGTTCTACATTTACTATTCGTTGTTGTATTCTAAAGTGTTGGATATTATGTTTAATAAAGCTGATGTTCAAGCTTTTGAATCGATCTTCCGAAAAAAATGGCAAAACTTCTGTTTCCCAAAATAAAGATGAAAATTTAGAACAAACATTAGTCATGATGTTAAGTTTTGGTTGTTTGCAGTAACGTCCGAAATAAACTTTTATGTTTTGCAGTGAACACTGAACGTTCAGTTTAACAAGAGAATCAACAATCAGAGAATTTTGTTGTATTTCCGCAGAAACATTCAGAATATATTCCCTCGGTTCTATACAGTGCGGAGAAAAATTCTCATGAACAGAAGAAGTAATTTCGTTGACACATAAGAGGCATATAGTTCCGAGAACAGTAAGCATCTGTGTAGTTAGTATCTATAAAATAATTTTGTATAATTATATTATAAAGGTATTTTAAACAAGAAATACACATGTTATTAAAATCACAAATATAACACAAAAAGTATTATATAAAAAAGAATTACTAATTGCTGGTTTAAATACATAAATGTCAAATATGATTGTATGTAAGTGTGTATCTTTTTTTTTGCGAATAGGTTTTACTAACAATTTTTAAAGTTCATAAAATATTAAGCATAAAGGTATGTGTTTCTCAAAAATTATTCTCCAGCGTCTTTATTTCTATCACACACACGTCATTATTTGTTATTATTGTATGTTTTATTCGACATACATAATTAAAAACACAGGAGTACAGATTGTGTTTACGACAAATTCGATATTCACCTAATAAAATCACGTTTGAGAAAACTGTTTAATTTTTTTTATGCATTTTGTGAAATGAGATCAGTTGAATATTACAACAGTGAAAAAAACTTATTAATGCATTGTTACAATATATACCAATTATTATATGCTACTAATTAATTACTTTATAGCAATTACTATATGCTAAAGAGATATTAATGTTCAAAATTTTTTAATTATATACTTAGTTTTAATTTACATTAACTATATAGATAAATTAAAGATTTCGAAGTCTGTAGTCCACCGGTGATGTTTGGTGAAAGAAATATTTCATTCGTTTGTTTTCGCATACTCATGTTTGTATTGTTTGTGTGACTTTCCTTGACATGGCTGTTGACATGTACTCACTGTCTTTTGAGATTGTAATGTACGTTACACATTTCTATAATTGTTATCATATTTTTTGTGATTACTTTTATCTTTACTTTGTAAAGGTGACTTTGATTTATTTTCTTTATGTTTTAATAGTTTTAATATATTTATATGCGTAGTTTTCTCATGTTTCTGTGAAACGTTTGTAGATTTAGACAATGTTAACTTATATATTTCCTACTTTGCACATTGTAGAAGTAGTTCATGATGATTGCAAAATAAAATTGATCAAAAAGTTCATATCGTTAATTTAGAAGCACAAAGTTTTCTTGTATCCACTACCACCTGTGGACTGCAAGCTTTGAAGTTTTTTCTTTCTCTTTTTCGCTCTGTTTCTCGTATTTTATCTATTACATTTACCTTTAATTTTTTTTAACCACTTAATCATTAACAGTATAATATGCTTTGTAGAGATAATAGGTCTATGTTATTTCATTTTCTATGTTCTGGTTTGTGTTTGGTTAAATACAAAATTTATAGTATTCTTTCAAATATAAGAAGCAATTTTTATTTTACAAAAAATAGCTTAATGACTTACCATCTTCTGTATAGTTATATTCAATGCATTGAAGTATATATCTTGCAAAAGAAAGTGCAAACTGGTAATCAAACAAGATTGAAAGCGTATGTCGTGAGCGTATCTGTGCGTTCTCGCCTCTTCGAGAAATTCTGGATAACTAAAGAGCAGTCCTTTCTGTGAAATAATAAATACACACCACGATGGGTAAGTTCCACGTTTCGTTCGCAACGCGCTCGCGAGCGTTATCTTTGTTTATTTTTCGATGAGAAATAAGGATAAAATGATTCCATGCGAATTGCGAACGGCAATTGGAATTTACTCGATGTAAACATTTGTGTAGGCTTAGAGGCAAACGACTTTACGAGTGTATCCTACCTGTATGTGTAAATGATGATAGACATATTGTAGTTGACATATGTCTTTTCACTGTTTTATGTACTATATCTTTATATACAGTGTAGTATATATAAGATATTTTTTTTATGTAGTAAATCTATGTTTCAGATCTGTGAAAAAAATCAAAAAAATAGTTTGAACTTTTAAGTGTGATATTGTTCCCGTGTAGATTTAAAAGATTTGTTGGTAAGAAAATGCGACGGAATAAACTACATTCGGAATCTTTGTCAAAATGTTTTACAAACACACTTTTTTAGCTAAGATTTTTGTTTTATTCTCTTTTAAAGAAAAAATTTTAATTTTTTGGGTAAATAAAACATGGGTGACTCTTTGTGATTGATCGATCGCGTGACTTTCGGTTTCACGATATAGGTAATGTTGATTATCGTGTCTTTTCGGACGACTCGTGCATGCTCACTTCTTCGGGCTCGTTCGGTATTCATACCTTGTTGATTACGCATCGGCGCACGGTATACAATAATTATTATTAACTTCGGATTCGACAAGTATCACAGCGCAATAAAACCAAAAGTAAAATGTACGTGCTTGTAAGAATATTTTTCACTACATAGATTTTTATAGTGCTAAAATTACTTGAATGTGTAAAACCAATACTAAAAGCTATGTAAATTATGACTTTTTGAGAAAAAATGGATATTATGATCATATACGATTATATGTAAGTGAGAATTAAATCGCGCAAAAGTTCGGATTTAATTTTATATTATCATACACAATTTTCTATATTTATATACGATCATATAAAATCAGATCGCGCCAAATTTCGAATTTGAGTTTACACGATCACATGAAATCACACTGACTTATATAAAATCTTATATGATCATATCAAGAAGCACGGTATAGTGCCTTGCGCCAAGTTGACGCACAACGAAGTGGCGCTCGAACTGCGCGAGCTTCTGTGCTTCTTATACGTGAAATTTAGGTAATATGAGAAAGATCAAGATTTTTGCGGATACTCTCTTTTTTCAGTAACGACTGAACCGAACACTTTCGTGTTTTTTTTGGGCTCAATTGTTTCAGAACAATAAATTAAAAAAAATATATTCTTGCGTTTTGGTTTGTTTGTGCTTCTGATTTCTTTTGAAGATATGCGACGATTAACGTTCGAAATGAGGTAAAGTTAAGAAAAAAAAACAAGTTTTTGTAGTAAGATATTATTTTGTACCAGGTTTTATACCAAAATCTTTTTTGTATTTTGTTAAACAGGTTTTAGAGAGAAAAAAAATTTTTTGTAGTACTAAATCAATTTTTACCTTATTTATTTAAATACAATATGTGTTGTGCGTTTACTTGGCGTTTGTACTTACTTTTTTTTTGAAAAGGTAAGTTTCTCGAGATATCACACATTTTGTAATTTGTAGTATTATTTAACTTGTAAAACAAGTTTTATAGAAATAGAAGTTTTTGTTGTATTAAATCAATTTTTAATTTATTCGTTTTTAATTTTTTACTTCATAAATTTAAAGTATTTGTAGTTATTTTGTGCCAAGTTTCAAAACAGGATTAAAAAACCTTATACCGGAAGTTTTGCCGGCGCGGAAAAAATGTTTTTATCCGTTTTCTGAATTAATTTTTTATCATAAATTGAAAGTTTGTAATTTGTATGTATAGCACTAACATCGAAAATACATCCAACAATGAACGAGCGCGTAGTGTAAAGAAAATATCTCTTCTTTGTTGTGCGTGAACCGAGAATTTGTCAGGATTTTCTTTCTTCATCTGGATTAACTCGATCGATCACAGTTACTTCTATCGTTGCTGTTTAACACCGTCATTTTTGGATTATTAGTGACTTTTATGATATTTTTCTGTTTAGGCCATTTTTGCGATCTTCATCTTATTGCATAAACGCGTGCGCGATTAATAGAAAGCTATACAGAAATGTGTAAAAATATGTACAACTGTTCGAAATTAAATAATAACATGTTTATAATAAGATATTTGTAATTATAAATGTTTCTTCCAAGTTTTGAAGTCCTTTATTGACCTATCCGCCTGTAAAAAGACGTGAAAAAAAAGTTAAAATACGGAGCGTGTGAAATATTCGAATGGAATAAGGAACTTTTTGAGGGTTCTGTGTATTACACGACGCTGCACAGATTTGCATTGGCATTTGGAAACGTTATTTACGAAGGTTTGCGGTATGTAGTGTATTGTGAAGTAACCTGAGTATTTCGCAGGAAATTGCGAAATACGAAGAGTGACGACATTTGTCGATTCTTCATTCGTCTAAACGCATCCGTTCGATCTGATGAACGTCGCATTCATCTTCAGTCGAGAAAGAGACAACGGCGTGATTCGGGTCTCAATAGTAGCTGTTTATACGTCGGCGCCTAAAACAAAAAATAAAAGATTTCCATGAAGTATTCGAGAACGTCGAATACTTCATTAACTACGCAAAGGTTTAATATTATCTTATGTGACAAATTAACATGTACGTGACATAAAATTGTTATTGATGGGAGCGATATTGGAGACCAGTTTTTCCACCTATAAGAATATGTGTATCATGTGTTATAAGTTATAATGTTGCAATTTATACAAACAAAGATTGCGTGGATTAACAACAACACAGAACACGGATAATCAGGTTAATGGGGTCATCGTTAATAGAATTACATCTTATTCGAATAATCTTCTATTTCACGCTTCAAATTGATAATAATACAATCAAATGTACAAGTTTATTAATCCTGGCTGCAAGATAGTTTTGCATATGTATATTGAACATTTAAATGTCTCACATGTACGACTTTCTATCGGTGTGAGTTACGGATTTGTACAGAGAGAAAGAAAAAATGTCTTGCTGCACTCACACATACACACGTTTCTAAAGTAATATTCATTACTTTATATAACAAGATACAAGAGAAAAAAAAGAAACAATAGGAGAAACTTTAATTTATGACTTGATACAATCATCACATATAGATGCAATAAAGATACACTTACTTTGTTTCTCTGTCGTAAGTTGAAAATGCCGTAGACAATGGGATTCATATTCGAATTGGTGCACGCGAAAAAGAAGAGAGCCCTCTGAATGCGCTCGTCGATTTCTCGAGCTGACGATGGATCGATGCAGTACCTGTTCGCATACGCAAATCGACAATTGTAATGCGACAGTTTAGTTTTGTGCGATTTAGGTGAACTCGGATACGCGGGTTATTTTGTTTTTGTTGTATATAACGAGGCAGAATTTACACAAGCGTATCTACGGCCATGAACGTTGCTCACAGAAAAATCATATACCGTCACTACTTGGTTTTCGTATCTCTTGTAATCAGTGTTGCGACGTTACTACCAAGTGCGTACAACGTCGTTATAATGTGTTTCCGATGTCTCTAATCGGTTTTAGTTAACGAAATCATTTAAGAAGTTAACGAAAGATAAATCGAAAGTCATCATTATTTACCAAACACTCATTACGTAATAAGAAGTCCAGCAGATGATGAAGACGACGATAATAGTTATCGTCATTTTTATAATAATTAATTTTTTTCTCAAATATATTTATTATTTTTTTCTCTTTTTAAAAGTTTTCTTTTATCAATTAAACATATTTTATTATTTAATATTAATACTTATATATATATTGAACTAATAGGCAAAACATCCATATAAATTAAAAAAGTAGAAAAAGTAAAAGCAGAATTGGCAACTAAAAGACGTAACGAAGATAATGAAAAAAATCCAGTTAAAAAAGGCAACACAGTTTAGAAAGATGAGGTTCTGGAAGTGCTGTAATTACTCAGAAAATGGTTGATGATGGTATACAAGGTTTTGTTATTGAAAATGTTCAGCCTCTGTCAATTATAGACAGTCCAGTATTTATCAATTTAGTTAGAATTGAAATGACTTTGTCTATTTGAATAATGTGTAGAAAAATTTTAAGAACAAAACTTGATCAAATATATCTTGAAATAAAAACAGCTCTTGAAAACAAATTGGTATAGCTCAAATTGAAATAGTTGCAACTACAGCGGATCTGTGGAGCAATGCAAAAAGATTATTCAAACTTTTTTATTAACTGTTAATTTTTGTTTTTTATGTATTAAATATGTTTCTTATCCTTTAATACTTTGTTAATGTTAGAGAAGAATATAAATTTTTTTGTTTTTTAGAAGTTTTTTAGGAGTAACAGTCCATTGGATTAATCCCGAAAATTTAAGTAGAGAATCAGCTGCACTGGCTGCAGAAAGAAAGAGAAACATACATATGATACTTTAGCTAAAGCAATTCATTCAGTATTTTTAGTATTATATTCAAAATAAGATATGCTGCACGACAACCGATAACAGATTAAATTTTGTTAAGGCTTTTCGGTAATTTAAAGATATATAAATGTATAACACACACACACTAGAAGTTTTATAATACTTTATAAAGTTTTTTCTATATTGCAAATATATTTTTATATTAAAATATTTTACTTTCAAAGCAAAATTTATAAAGTGTTCAAAGTTTTTGAAAAAGATAAAAATGAAGATGAGGATTCTGAAGCCATGGAATTTCATAATCTAAATGATTTATTAATGACGGCTGACAAAGAAGATACAAATGCTGCAAAATTTATCATTTTTCCACCACATCATAGATGTGTTAGTCACACGTTGAATCTCATTGCGGTGAAAGATTCAGAAAAACCTTTAGATAATAATATTTTATACAAAAAAAGTACAGAACAAAATATTTGCTAAATTATCGAAATTATGGAGTAAACAAAACCAATCAACACAGGTAGCAGACAAAATAAAAGAATATTGTGGTGTATATTTAAAAACTCCTAGTGTTACAAGGTACACAATTTTTTATGATATTTGTATACTTATATTTGTGTGTAAATTACTTTTTTCTAGAATAATAAAAATTATTATTTTATCAATCTATTTATCTGTTACTTCAAGGTGGAATTCTACTTTCAATTTAGTACTTCAGTTGGTAACGCTTTCAAAAAGTGACACAGAAAAAATAAATAAATGTCGAGACTATTACGATTTACAGAGATTAACTGATGATGAAACTAAATTTCTCGAAGAATATTGTCAGGTAAACTGAAAATGCATGGAATTTATATAAAGTAACTCACAAAATATTATAATAAAATATTATAATCAAATATTATAATAAAAGGTATTTATTACTTTAGGAAGATTTATTAGAAATTCGATCGACCGAAAGTTCTCCACAAACTGAAAATCTGATGATCACGAAGATTTTTTTATCTTTGAGCAACAAAAAATATCCCAAAGTGAATCGGAAGAAGAAGAGTTGCAACGTTTTCTAGAATCTAAAAATTGTAATATACAGGGTCCGCCACTTAAATCCGGACAAATTTGAATTTGACATTCCCATCATATTAGAATGCAGCAGTAGGTGCCATATGACCTAAAGATAGGTTAGAGACGTCGATAA